CCCTTAGCTGGCTTTTTCAGGATTATGTTAAATGACCCTCACCGATCTTTACAGGTGGCACTTCCTTGTGGTGCAGCATTTTTTTCCCTGCCTTAAATATGCCCTCACAGAGGCACAAACAACATCACTTACTGGCCGGACTCTGGCTAGCAGTGGGGCCCTTATCTACCATGAGGCAGCTTCTAGATTCTTCCCATAGAAGCCACCCCTATGTCCACCTGCTACCAAAATCTAGCCACATATACCCACTGCAGTCTCAGGCTTTGTTCTCTTTATTTTCCTCTGAAATTACTGGTCAGTGTGGTAGATGCTCTTATTTGTGTCATGTTTGGAGCAAAAAGCTTCTCTCAACTATGAACTAGTTTGTGCCTTACTCTGTTTGGATGCTGAGGAAACAACTCACAAGAAAATCTTCTACAGCATAAAAGGCTACCATTATCACGTGTTTCCTGTCCTCAAAAGAGAACTTCCAACATCATTAAATATTCCACATCAGATCCAAACAAAGTGAGCTCTTGGCATCAACTTATTCCCAATTAGTTGATATGCAGAATTAAATGACATTAAAAGGAGATAGCAACTACTATGGTGGTCAAGCTAGCCCACATCCATAATCCAACACCTAGCAGTTTATACACCAGCAGTGAGTTTCACTGGTATGACACTAGAAGGTAAGTGTTGATCAGAGGCAGGGGAGGATGTTGCTGCTGCTGTGTAAACTCATAAAAGGATAAGATTAGATAGCAGCATGATCTTTCCTTATTGAATATCTCAGGGGAACCAAGGGGAGGGGCATGGGGTTTTAAGGAAGAAGAAATGATCTCTGCCAAGGTTTGAAAACAGCTGGAGAATCAATGATGCAAGGGAGAGAATGCCAGAATTGAGTTCACTCATGTAACCTTAATTCACTCACACTCACTCTCCATATGTTCTATCACAGACTTAAATTAGTCAGAACTTTTTTCATAGGGATTTATTCCTTTAAATTGTGCAGGATGGATCTGCTCTGAGTAAAGAAGAGATATGAAATTATCTCTACAATATGCTAGCCCTCCTTGCTCCATCGTATGTAACAAACAAAGAAGTCTTTCAGGAAGAGTAAGGATTATATCAGTCATAAGCATTTCTGTGTGATAGGTACATTACTCAAACCAGCGTTTTTACAAGTGTTCATTCACCAGTTGTGCCTTTCCCATTTTCCAGTTGGTTGGCTTTTAATCTGGATGTTAGCTTTCCAAAAGTGTTGAGCGCTGTTGCAGCTGGAGATGGTGGTATACGTACTTTAAATATTGATGTACAATGAAATTAGTGAGAAACTTATGTTAAAAGTTAATGTTATAATGCCCTGCTGGCAGCAGCATGTAGCCATATTCCTAACCCTGGACCAATTAACTTTCAGAGAAGCCCTACCACATGATGCTGTATGGACATATACACAAAGGGCTTAATAATACTAAGTTCTTTAAAAAGTCAGATGGTGTCTCATAGTGGTACTAAAATTAATAGATAATCAATTTCCTCCTCAACCTCAATTCTCTTATCTGAAAAAATGAAACTAATAGCAGCCCCTTACCTCACATGAGTAAAATTAAAGTTTACTAATGGCACTGAAACAATCTAATACTCAACAGATTAAAAAAAAAAAAAAAAAAGGCATTCAGAACTGAAGATTAAATTAGTGATGAAATGGATCATTTTATTTTCAGTGTTCCTGTCTGACTAGCATTTAGAAGTGCGTATTGACCAGAAAGAAGATTGATGCAGGGAACCTATAGAAAACAAGACACGCAATGAATTAAAGAAGACAATAGTGGTTGCAGACAGGAAGCCATAAGAGTGGGTGTTGAAGTGCCTATTCCTGTTTCCTACTTTTTGAGAATTTTTGTCCTTTTAAGGCTTTTTCAAGTTCATATCCACTTCTGGGGAAGAGAACCATGGAACAGATTCTGGACTACTCCTCTCTGTTGGTGCCATCTCCTTGTACCTCATGTTGTCTTCTGAACGCAGGGTGCTTCTCACCCTTCTTGCTAAAGTTGCACCTCTCTGGTCTTCCTCTGGAGTTTTGAAATTTGAATTTGTGTGTGTGTGGGGGGGGGTTGTTTGTTTGTTTGTTTGTTTTTCTCATACCAGAGATATATGACAAAATAGAAAGCAGCCCTTTCCTCATGAACACTTTTTTTATTTTTTTCCTTTCTAAGGAGGTATTCTTTTTCCAGGGATTTCTTTCTTGGTAAGTCTTCTCTGGCAAAGGAAATTCTGGACAGGAGGTAGCTATTTTATAACTGGCAGCTTAAATAACTTTTCCACCAATTCTACGATGCCTTCTGCTAGGTGTATTTTCCACAAGTAAGTTTCTTCTTGTAGGAGAGTTGGTACATTTTTACAGTACTGCTTGATTTTTATTTTATTTTATTTTTGGCTTTTAACCTCTGCCCTCATCAGCATTAAGAAGTAACTGCTTGCCAATAAAAAACACACAATTGCGACAGCTGTTTTCCTACTCAAAGGTGGACTAAAAATGGGTTTCTCAGACAGTACTAAAATGACAAATGATAGCCTGTTACAAAAACTACTGCATTCTGCAACAGCAGTGTTCCCTTTTTGAGTAACTTGCCCCCAGAGCTGGTGCAATTATGAAGTCAATGTAAGATCTGCATGTACAATAGCTCTCATAAATATACCAGTAGTTCTCTGTATAATCTATTTAGCTTTTCAATAGACAGCCTCATTGGCCTGTATCTGGCCACTGTTGCATCCTATTGATGTTGCTGAATGCAACAGAGAACAGACTGAGTAGAGATGAATGTTGAGGAGCACTAAGTGTAGCTAGACTCCCCCTCCCTCTTCACCGTACTTGTGTCATTTCTACTTTTTCTTGCCCTCATCAGCATTTCCAGGAGACAGTGCTTTGTCCAGGCAAAAAGAAGCACTCAGTGATTACAACTGTGACAGCTGGAAATATATATATTATGTGCTCTGAACCTCTGAAACTCTACCTTTCCTTTATCCGTAGCCTATACTGGCTTTTAGTCCCTTACCCTGTTCTAATACACACGCATTCACAAACATACACTTCCGTGCATCAAATCCTTCTTCTGTCCTGTAAAATGAACAACTCACATGCATATTCTACTTACTGGTTTTGTTCAAGATTATTGGCTTCCCACCCATGTACAGCAGGCTCTCACCCCCAAGTCATAAACCTATGCTGCTCATAGTGCCAGCTTCTGTGCAACTTGGGGTGATATTTGTTGCTCTTCTCACCTTTCCCAGGAAGCTTGGGCTGTTTTACTGCTGCAAGTTCTAACTGGGTTGCTACTCAGCTGTTTGCTGGCAATGCTTGGCAGCAAGAAATGACACTGTTACTCTTCATTACAGAGCCAATTATTTCTGCTATAAGATCAATAAAATATGGGGCTATCGATTAAGAAGCCGGGCAATGGAGACAGGACAGAACATCAGTAATATATTCCACATGCACTTGGCTCAGACATTATTCTTAAATGTATATCTTTTTTTTCTGAGTGATTTCTCTGCTTTACCATAGTGGGTATCGACTCAGATTTTATCCATTCCCAAGTGCAGTTGTTGCAAAACTGTAAAATAAGTAAAGAAAAACTCTAATGCAATTACACATTGATTTAATCCTGCTGCTCACATGAAAATGCTAAATTCTGAAAAGCAGCTTTCAGCTGCAATCTATGGGATTTATCTCCAAATGTGCAGAAGATACAATTAGGTGAGTACTGTTTGTCTTGTCTATCATGCCATTTAACTCCCAGTAAGCCCTTTTTCTTCAAGCAGAACTCTTTTTATAGCTGTCACACCACTATATAATGGAACTGATCATTTTCTAGCCTGACTTAATTTATATAGGATTTGTTGGTAATCAGACTTAGCAGTACATGCATAAGCTCCAGATTGATTGGCATGGTCATCTTAACCTTCACTGCTTCCTCACTTTTTCAGCTAGAAAGGGCTGGAAATAAAGGAACATTTCACACAGCTCTGCAGCCAGCTATCCAGCTGAGTTAGTCCTGATGGGATCCTAAGAGAGAAAACCTCATTTCCTAGAAGATTGATATGGGAAATACAAAGGTGGAAACAGAGAGGTACTTTCCTCATGTGCTTCACAAAATTGTATTTCCAGGAACACCTTAACTTGATTCACTGAAATAGAGTGATTAAACATTTTCTATGTTGTAAGCCCTGTAATATCAATAACCCTAGCAGCTGACGGAATGCACTAGTTCACAATATAATTTTAGATAGTGTAGCATTTTAAACTTGGAAAAAAAAAAAAAAAAAAAAAAAAAAAAGAGAGAGAGAGAGAGAAACAAAACAAAAACAGCAAAAAAAAAAAAAAGAATGAAGACTAAGAAGCACAATCAAAATTAAATCACATACACTATTTTAAAATATAGCACAATAGCACAAAAGATTATCTATTTTTCTTGTTTCACAGTTCTCTGAGAACTATGGCTATAAAAACAATTGAACACATCTTTATGTTTTGCTCAATATGTGAAATTGCCAGTACTTAAGGTTTTGTTACACCCATAAAACTTCTAGTCTAGTATACTGATTGTGACTGTTTCTAGGAAAGAAATCTTTACAACTCAGAAGGTAAACAAAAACTTCACCCTCCTGTCATTCTTATCTTTCATAAATCAGGTGACTGAATCAGTAAATACAAAATGAACAAGAACTTCTTACAAATATTGTTAGATTTGCACATGTAAAATCATACGCTAAGCATCTTGCTGAGAATTCAAAACCAAGAAGTTGGCAACTGCAATAAATCTGGGCTCCTTCATTGTAGCGGTGTTATCCTGGATTACATTTAACAGTTCTCTGAGGCTCCAAATTCTTGTATGCAGATGTCTGGCATTTCAGATACCATGATTCACTTTCACATCAATGGTAGGCATCACCCTAGGTGGCAATGGACTTTCCACGATACACTCATCATAGCCAGAGTTCATAAACAGCTTACTTACCTTGATATCTTGCACATATTTCCAACTATCTGACCCTGGAGCTGATGTATACAAGAAGTCTTCCATTTTAAATGAAGGAAGATCTGCTAGAAAAATTGCTGTTTTGGAGAACCCGCAAGACACTCACTTCATTTAGTGCTGAAGAAATCTGTTGAAAAAAGCTTATGACACAGATGGAAGAGGCCACGTATGCATGTGCTTAAATTACAAGGTTTTGGACTAGGACTATATAAAAATATGTTTGTGTTATAGAAGCCAGATTATTTCCAATTCTTCTGGATTCCTTAAGAGATTATACACAAATAAATTATTTTTATTTGTTAATTTATACTAGAGGTTCACTACTCTCTGGAATTTACAGAATGTATCATAGTGTATGAATGTATCATAGTGTATGAATGTAGTTGGGTTTACTGGGAGAAAGAGAATACCCTAAATAATGACTAGAGTAAAGACCGTCCTTTGTATTTGTAAAGTCTTCTGCCCATGTAGTTGAGATATATCATCCCAGATTCTTTAAGTGCTAGCATAATAAAAATGTTAAATAATAATAAAAAATGTTAAATAATAACAGTAACCTCTACGTACTGAAAGTACATATGTACTGAAAGTCACCTATTCAAAACATACAGGTGGGCAGCCAACTGCTATGATACCTTTTTGGCTGTGATGTGACCATTCGAGGCCTTGGAAATAGTGGGGAAAATATAAGAGGAAATATCCCTTCACTTTATCACCTGCTGTGACAGTGTCACCTACTGTGCCAAAGGTAAGATGAAGAACCCAGTGTGTATCTTTTCCTCCATACTTAGCGTACACAAAATGCAGCTCTGTTAGTCACATTCTCATAAGGCTGTCTTTCACTGAGTTGACCTTTCAAACTCTTGTATGCATGAGATCAATCACTTTGATTTTGGAACACACTTCTCCACCCATTTATCCTCCCTGGAGAGACAGTACAGAATAATTGGAGAGAATTAATCCAAACGAGCCAAACAGATGTTGGAGAAACATTTCCTCCCACTCAGTCATCTACTGACTGAAACTTATCTTGTCCTTATCACAGATGGTCCTTTCCGTTTGTCAAGCAAACAATTTACTTCAAGCAAAAAAAATTTACTACCTAAAGAAGTACCATTTATCTAGTACTGAAAACTTTTTCCAATCATTTTAGTGTGAGGCTTAGAAAAAGACACGTTTTCTGGTGCATGCAGAAGAAATTTGAAATCATGGCATTGTACAACAAAAATTTAGTTTTATCAAAAGACCACGTTTAAGTCGTAGGCTGTAAAGACAGATTTGGAATGACAGTGCTGCTATCCTTGAAGGTAATTTGTATTTTAAGTTCATCCATTTTATATATTGTTCCTATACTGTAGCAACTTAGTAATAATAATTAAAAGGTATAATTGTTGGAAATAGCTAATAATGCTTTGTGCATCACGGGCAGCTTACCCCAGTAAGACATCCTGGCTCTATTGATTTCCATGTGGAAGTGCAATGAAATTCTGCAGAGACAGTCTTTCACCTTTTACATGTAAGACATGAGAGGAGAGGGAGAGGAAGGAAAGCAAGAAAAGCACCAAAGAAGAATATCTGTCTTCCCCTTAATCCTTAGCTCCAGAGGGTCAGTAATTGTTTAAGCAGGGATACAGTCCACATGGGATCAACGGGTAGAGAGGACTCTAAGATCTTAGGCATGGACAGAAAAATCCCTAGGAGGGAAGCTACGGATTTCCAGGTTGAAGGTATGCATGCAAGAGCAGCTATGGAGGAACAACAGCCAGCTTCATCGAGCTTCTCGGGAAAAGCATCAGTCTGAAGACAGGCAGCATCTGAAAGCCATGTCTCTGTGCTGAGCAGGAACCAAACAGCAGCAGAATGACTGTCCACATCCAGACTGGAAGAGGTGATGGATAGGCCCATTAGTGTTTAGCTTTGTTGCTGAGGAGTCAGACTGCTGTGTTGTTTTGTGATGTGACATTGGTCCACTGGGATCTGTGCTGTGTCAGTGAACTAATTTGATATTCATTATCTAGCATTTGCCTGATACGGGTTAACAGTCAGTGCTTTCTGGTATCAAACACCCTCTATCAGTTTAAAATGTTGGGCTTGAGATTAAAATCATAAATTCCCCTCACTCCTACATCCAGAAAGATTTCTGTTGCCAAAATCCGTGAATAGTTCTATTTAGGCAGTTTCATAGCACTGTTGTGAGAAAAGGTCATTTGCAGTGAAAAACCTAATTTCCTTTATATGGTTTTACTACCAAAAATTGAACAATGGCCATGTAGTCATTGTTGAGGGTAGAAATGCACTTTAACAAATGGCATTCGTTTTAAATAATTTACTTTCATATTTCATAAGGGCTTCTGCTGTCTTCAATGCCATTTATATATATATATATACACTAATTAAGCTTTCTAAGGTAGACAAAAGTTACATAGATGAAACAGAGAGGGTCACTAGCTGATTACTTTCCTATTTAATTTGGTGTCCTGCTGCAAAATTTAAATCTACATTGGAAATACAGCAAAGCTTGGGGATTCTCAGAGCTAAGAATTTGAGTTTCATCTCTTTTAACTGTAGATATAAAAAATTAATTGTAGATATAAAAAAATCATTTGTTATTTTTGTAGATTAAATCTAAGTCAAATTTGCTCTAGTATGAAAAGACAAACACAAAATTTGGAAGACTTACAAACAATTGTTTCATTCTGGATAACTCAGAAACATACTCCCCCAAATGAGCTTCCCAACTGAGAGGAGCATGAGTAATATCAGACCAAAGGTACGGTGATATGACCTATGCAGTCCATTGTTATTTCATATTAAAGCACACAAAACAGCTGTGTTAAAGTAATACTGAAAGTCTGGCCAGACCAGCCAAAATTTCTTCCTTCATGATCTGTTCTACAGTAGGTGCTGAGTTTTGGTTGTTCTCACAGACTTCACTGGAGACATAGTAGTCAAAGAAATACTTCATAAAAATAGGTTTCTGGGTATGAGCATAGAATATTGCATGATGCCATATGAAGAGGTACCAGGGATCTTGAAGCAGGTCAGGTATTCTCAACAAGAGTATTTAGCCCAGGAAAACTGCTGAGCTTCTTTCTTCACCTGAGATAACTAACTCAAAATTAATTCAGGTTCCATCATGCAGCACTAAATCCTGTCATCTGTCTTGTGGATATACCTATCACCTCTTAACTGTCCCCATGCCTTCCAAAAGTTACAGATAAAAGGTCTGTAGACACCACTTGTGTAAGTAAGTCCCTCATTAAATATTTTGCACATACATTCACGTGTTATCTGTCCCAGACCTGCTGAAATATCAAGGTATAAACTAAGTTAAGAACTGTATATGCTTTTCTTTAGATAAGCTATATGCTTAATTTGCTTCTTTTTATTTTCATTTCTAAATTATTTGATACCTGTTCATGAGGTGCTGTTCTCGTACTTTAAATTAGTGATATGTTTAAAGGAAACTGTCATTCATATAAATAAACTTCACTTCCAAATGCTACTGAGTCAGTTAAAGACTGGAAGACCAGTGAATGCATAAACTTAGGATGTATCCACACTATTACATATTTTATCCAGCTTGAAACCAGACTGTTGGAACATGCTGCTTGTATTTTATTTTTTGATGGCATTCATGTCCATGACCTTCTGTGCAGAATGGATCTATAAACAACTCAATTGCTACAGCCAGAGGTCAGTGAACTGGAATCTGGAAGACAGAGCTGAGGAATATGGGGAGGGGTTATAAGAAATACATAAAACCTTATGTACGTTCAGCTTTGGAAATGGAAAGTGATGTAGATTCTTCAGAAGCATGTAAGTTCATCAGTGGTGTGGAGCTCAATGCATGTTGCATTAAGTATAGCACGGAGGCCAAATATTCTGATGGGTTGGCCTGCACCAAGCTATGTGTTTCTACATGCTGCTGGCATCCAAGATCAGAGTTTCATGATGAAGTATTGCTGGTGGCAATACTAGCCTAAGTATGTCTATATTACAGTCACTGTATACTATTTGATTTATTTCAGCTATTTTTATATTCCCATTATGCTACATTGGGTGAAAAATTGCTGACAAGTTTACATTAATGGATCTCATGAAATAAGGAAGTCTTTCAGAAGAACTGCAGTTAGTATGTAAATAGCAAAGATTCTAGCAGCATAATCATGATGAAATGCTAAAGACAGAGGTTTAGGAATTAGCCATTAAAAATATCCCCCTGGTAAAACATGGAAAATCTTCACCCTCAATGTTATTTTTACAGCCCAATATATGTTTGTAAGTTGCTTAATTGCTTATCTGCCATAGGGTTTGTGGTGGGTTGACCTTGGCTGGCTGCCAGCTGCCCACACAGCTTTTCTCTCAGTCCCCCTCCTCAACAGGAAGGGGAAGAAAATAAGATGGAATGGCTCCTGAGTTGAGATAAAGGCAGGGAAATCATTTACCAAGTACTGTCATGGGCAAAACAGACTTTACTTGGAGAAAATTAATGTAATTGATTGCCAGTTCAAATTGTTTTGGGTGGTGAAGAAACAAAGACATATTGAAACAACACGTTCTCCTGTCCCCTCCTTTTTCCAGGCTCAATCTCATTCCTTCATCCCCAGCTCCTCTTCCCCACAACCCCTCTTCTGCCCCCCCCCCCCCCCCCCCCCCGCCCGACTCTGAGCAGCACAGGGGAATGGGGAATGGAGGCTGTGGCCAGTCTGACACAGCTTCTCTCTGCCATTCCTTCCTCCTCACAGCAGGGGCTCTCCATAGGCTTTCCATGGGTCAAACACTGGAACAAACTTCCTAGAGAGGTGGTTGATGTCCCATGCTTGTCGGTGTTCAATAGGCATTTGAATACTGCCATCATTCATGTGCTTTAACTTTTGGTTAGCCCTGAAGAGGTCAGGCAGTTGGACTAGATGATTTTTGAAGGTTCCTTCCAACTGAACTCTTCTATTCTATTCTAGAACATTCTATTCTAGAACCTGCTCTGGTGTGGTCTCCCTTAGGTTGCTGGGAGACAACCTTCTCCACCATTCTATCTCCACAGGTTGCAGAGGAACCTCTGCTTGGGATGGTCCACAGGGCTGCTCCTCACACAGCTCCCCTCACCACCATGCAG